TATTGTTGTATGAAATAAGGATTACTATTCTTTTTTATGAATTTTTTTATAAAATATGTGATGTTTTTCTTTTAAAAAAATTTGTAACTTTATTTTTTATTTTCTTGTGCCTTTTTTCCTCTTTGTCCAAAATATGTATATTGTTGTATGAAATAAGGATTATTATTCTTTTTTATGAATTTTTTTATAAAATATGTGATGTTTTTCTTTTTAAAAAATTTGTAACTTTATTTGTTTAAAATTTATGCATTCTTTTCTTTGTAGACTATTAATGGATGGTTTTTTTTTTTTTTTTTGGTGTGTTAAGGAGAGAGCTTCACTCATGAGATTAGAGTTAATTAAAACAATAAAAGTATTGTTTCATACACTGAACTAAACAAGAAACGTATGAATTTTATAGAAATCAAGTCATATGAATTTTTTTTTTTTTTGCAATAAGATATTATGTTTCTTATTTTATCCATAGTATACTATTATTGACGTTTTAGTGTTTTTACTTATAAATTTTACTTATTAACCATAAAATAAAATTTTGCAAGTTAAGCAATTGTGGAAGAAAGAGTTATAAAGACTTATGTTAAAAAAAAAAGGTTAAATCCCTAATTTGGTCCATGAACTATTGTACAAACCTCCGATTTAATCCGTACTATTTACCAATTTACCCCAAGTTGGTCCTTCCATATAAAAACCAACTGATGTATCTTGTTATTAATATAACACGTGACTGTTAAGTTACTATTTTTCGTCGTTAAGTAATGGACACACCAGCTTTTTTTTGTACAGAATGACCAACTTGGGGCAAATTGATAAACAATAGGAATCAAATTAGAGTCTGTACAATAGTTTATGGACCAAATTGGGGGTTTAACCTAAAAAAAAAAAAGAATTGTTAAGTACTTTTCTTTATTTTATGATACTTCATGTAGATTTGATTATTAGATTAACTATTAATAAAATTTATATTAAAAAAGAAAGTAAAAATGCACCCTATATGTATAAAGAAGATCTATATATTCAACAATGAATTATTTATATATATTATATAAATTACTACCTTCAAGATTAAATAAACACTAAAATTTGTCATTTTTGTTTTAATTATAGAAGAAACTTTTTTTTTTATAAGAAGAAGAAACTTTGTTAAAAAATAAGAAAATATTATTTTTACATTAAAATGTAATAACTGTACTTATTATTTTAACTTTCCATTTTCTTTCTCTTCTTATCTTATCTTTATCTTTTCAATTATTTTATCATTATTTTATAAAGAATAAAAAAA